TCTAACTCTAGAGAGGAGACCTGGATTGGTGTGTGTGCGGTGTAGAAACGTCACTGGTGCAAACCCCCGTTTCACACGGGAGTTTGGCCCGGCATAACGACATGAGCATTATCCTAATGAAAACCAGCCCCAGACCCCGCTGTCCCGGATCACAATAGGCATTTTGCAAGACCATTTGCACTCAAGTTATCAGGGCTTTTTTTTTTCCCCTCTCCCTCTGAAGAGCCACTTTTCTAAGCAATTTGATTCCAGACACTGTCAGTCTCTTCTGGCAGTGTAATTTAAATCAAGATAAGGAGAGCAAATTGCAGATAGTTAAGTAATGCTCCCATCGCTCCTGCTCCTACTGCCTGCTGGGTGACTCTCATGTCTTCTGGTTTTATTCTCCTGGGAATGCAGAGTTGTCCAGGGCTATGTCCTCAGCTGTGTTCTGTGACCCTGAGAAGTGTTAAAGTGGTCACATCCTTGCAGGAATGAACGCCTGTGGCAAATTTCCTGATGCTGATTTATTTAGATTTTCTTCTGATTTTAGATGGCTTTTGCGTGATTCGCATTGCAGAGGAGTTAACTGGAGGAGCCCAGAGACGAGCAGATACCCCTAATGACCAGAGGTTTGCAGAGTGGGAGAGAAGTGCCCCACATGGGTTTCCTGACTGTTTGCTTATTTTACTGCAGGCATGCAGCCGTCTCCCAGAGAAGGGATTGTCAACACTTGTACCATCTACACCACTGTCACGACACCTTTTAGTCTCTGATTTATATCAGGCCACTGTAAGACCAACTTAACTGATAATAATGATGCGGAGTGCAGCACCAAAAGCCTTCAGATATCCTGGAGAGCCCTAGCCTGGAAGAAAAGTGTTGCCTTTGGCTATTGAGAGCTGGAAAGTCCTGCTGGATATTGTCATTTTTCAGGCTCTAGAAGACCTATATGCTCACATTTCATGTTATTCCTTCAGAAAATGTTACTGGAGAGCTAACTGCAATAAAAAGCTCACTTGCCCCTTCTGTAACCAATTGATGCCAGTCTCTGCTTCTACTCTGTCTTCCATCCACAAGTGAATCCATCTGCAGGTCTCATAAGCCATTGGCCAGACAATGATGTGGTCCCATCACCTCTCACAGCTGGGCTTCCTCGCTTCTTTGGTGGGATCCTCAAAAATCAGTGCCAGAAAGTGGAGACAGAAGTTCTCTTTGCCATTTCATTCCTCCACTGTCAACTTGTAGCACCACAAATTACTGAAGGTGTGGTCTCCCTACTCTCTGCCAAGTGTTTGTCTTTCTGTGAAAGTAGAGGGGTTTGATTCCAGCATCTGTTCCATGCTGCAGAGCAGCTGACCTTGTGCAAGGTTCAAAGTGCTCTCCATACTCTCTCCTAAACACCTAATGAACCTGCTTTGCTGTACCCTTCCACAGGACGATGCCTTCTCCTTCCAAGCTGTCAGATTTCGGCCCTAGGAGAAATACTTGCATGTGCGTATACATCCAACCCAGTCACTACCATACGTAATGCTGTTTGGATTCCTGGGAGATGGAGAGTCATTGTATCCTGAATTAATCCCTATGTGTGTCATCAGTAGTAAGAGCTGCTTCTGGAGATGCGGAGTGTAAGGTGCAACAGTCCAAAATAAGTGGCTGAGCAGAATCATTGATGGTGTGAAGTGGTTCCTATTGCAAAACTGGGCTTCTCTGCATAGCACTTTTTATATTTCTTGTATATTTTTTTCTATATAGATAAATACATTATACATACATTATTATATATTCTTTTTATACTTACTTTCTACATTTTTTAGGAATTGAGTAGAAAACGCCAAAAGAGACATAACCTTTCTGCAGCAGATTAAATTCCCCAGTGAAAGACACCCTTGACTGGAAGTGCAGAGGAAGAGTAAGGCTGCTTCTCTAGAGACCCACCGATGAGCTGGGTGAGAGGGCTAGAAGATTCCCAGCAGCTCGGACAGCCACAGTTTCCCCTTCTGCCTTCGTAACCCGCAGCAGTGCAGCTCCTTTCTGCCACCAATGCACAAAAGTGACAATTTGTCTCCGCTTTCAGCCGTTGCTGTCCCCCTTTTTAAAGCCGTGGCACTGCGTTTGACCGCGACGGCACATCTCAGGGGAGAACGACAAAGTGTAGAAGCAGTCAGAGCCCCGGAGAACAGACAGCAGAGAAGTGCCTGCGCTGTCATAACGGTTCACAGAAAGGGGCATGGAAAATCCTCAGGTCTCTGCCTTGAGAGGTGACCGAGAAGATGAGGGTGATGAAGTCACACACAGTCTCACAGGTCAGGGGTGAATTAATAACCTTGCTGGAGCGAAGGCTGTAGCTTGCCCGGTGGCAGCGAGGGAAGAGTTTTGCCTCCTTGCTCCACGCCTGTGTTGGAATTAATCACTCACATACAAATGCCAACACTACGGAAAACATCCTTCAGGATAACCTGTCTCACGAAGCTGCTTAACATTTTAGTAATATACAGTTCACTTGCAGGTGTCAAAGGATTTCAGCCTCTCTCATCCCTGTTCCAAGGTGTCTCCATCCGCTGGCACCCTGCGCCGATGAAGCGGGCAAGCAAGCTGCTGGGACCAGCACTGCTGACAGACCCATGAGGAGACCCACCAGTGAACGTTCAGCCCGGCTTCATCTCCTGGCACCTCGTGGGATTCTGGAAAGGGACAAAACACATCAAGGTGTGCCAAAACTCATCTGCATCTTGCTGAATTCGGTCATGCCTAAGAGCAGAAAGTGGGCACCTTCGCCAGCCTCTGCCAGTTCCCACTGCTCTTAGAGGGAGAGAGGGAGGTTTGCCATCAGATTTTGGCTTCATGGAATGGGTTTGGGGTGAGACGTAGGAGTGGGGAATTGCTCAGATGCTGTGAGTTTTCCAGCAGGCACAGTATATGGGACATCACATCTTGGCTTTATTCCAGACTGAGCAGCTATTCAGGAGTTGTTCTAAGTCAACCCTTTCTGGTCCGATTTCCAGAGGTAATGATCTTGCACCGCTCCTCCATATCCAGAGGGAAATGGAACTGTGCTCTTCAACAGCTGCGTGCCTCAGTTTACCTGCACGTAAAATTAGTTTTTAAATTCTTTACAGCTAGGCAGCAGTGAACTTTGGCGTGCGTCCACCTTGTGCCATCCTTTGCTTCAGACCGCAGCAAGGTCACAGAGCCAGCAAATGGGTTTCCTTTTGGATGGCACTAAAGCAGAAGTGCTTCAGGAGCTCATCGAACATGCTCCAGCTGCTGACAGCTTGAAGCAAGCCCTCTTCTCCCCCTGAAAAACATAGAGGATGAATATAGAGCCCTCAGCACCGACTCCTTTGCTCTGCTTTTCCCCCCCCTCTAGCACGGCACAGCTTGCTAATGCAAACACAGCTTCAGCTTAGCAACGGCTCCTTCTGTAAGGACAGTCCACCATCAAGTTGCTTCATTCAAATCTGGCCCCGTTCACTCGTGCTTCAATTATTTAGGCTTGTTTCAAGTGAGAGCACCCATGTGCACTTAACATGGCGCTCGCTCACTGAAGTGATATCACTGCTGGGCTTAACATGTGCTCAAGGGCTCCGCTGGCTCTTGGTCCTCTCTCCTGGCTGTGCGAGCTGGCGAGCAGGAGGTCCCCGGGCTGGTCCCAGGTAGAGTGGTCATGCCTGCCACAATTTGCAAGACACGTGGAGCTTTCCTGACCCTGACCCAGGCTTGCACAGAGGTTGCCCATATTATTGCTGCTGGTGCTGTACTGGACCCGCTGCTGAAGAGAGACGGGCCTCCAGACACCTTTATTGAATGCTCAATTTGGATAAAATCGATGGAATAATCAGCCCACAAAGTCTGCCCAAAGGTCAGGAAGCAGCGATTTTTTCCTGCAGCAGCTTTGGTTCTGAGCTCTTGTTTTGGCGTGAGGATTGCAAGGAAAAGCACTTCAGCAGGTAGGTTATAAAAGTGTTATGACTGCTGATATTAAGCTGACAGGCTAATGTAACAAGTGCATAACAAGGTCTCCTAAAATAGAGAGGTAAATTCTTTGCAGCGCTCATTTCTTGGACAATTCAAAAACAAGCTGGTGATGGACACGGCACAGGCTGGGCTGGCATCTGCAAGGCGAAACACAGAAGAGCCTCCAAGAGGAGGAGGGTGCCAGGAGAAGGGGGTGCCGGACCACGAGACAGGAGCAGGTGGGGAGAACACCTTTTTCTCACCCCATTCCACTCCATGGCCCCAGATTTCCTCCCCCCAGCCTGTCCCTATCTGTCTGCTTGTCTGTCTTGCACAGAGGCACCTTTGTGGCCCCCAGTCCTGCGTGTGCCACCAGCAGCACAGTGATCCGCAGTGGCAAAGGACACAACGACTGGAGGACCTGTCTTTACCCCTCTCATCCCTCAGGCACATGAATGTTATCAGCCGGACACACGACTCACCATGGACTGAACTTGCAGAAACACTTTGATCTTTCATTTTAAAGCCCAACGACTCAATCCCCCACGGAGCTAAGGTAAAGGGCTGCGGTGCTGCTCCGGTGGATTCGAGGTTTCCAGTCAAACAGCAGTCATTTAACCACTCTTTTAAAGTTCATATCATTTGAATGTCATATGTCAAACTGATGCTCCTTCCACTGAAGGCAAATAGCTGTTTATTCCCCTCGCAGCTGGCCGGCCGTCTGACATTCATTATTAAAGCCTTGCAGCTGCCAAGGATTCGAGCTACCTGTAGGAGTGCGTGTATCAAAGCCTTCCACCTTTTAAGGGTTATTCTCTGTAATACCAGCTCAGAGGTTTTACTTCAGCCTCGTTTTACAGCTGCTGTAGGTCTGCAGTTGTTTTCCTATATCTGGGCAAGGTCAGGCATTGTTTTTTGCCCATTCCTTCTAAAATTTTGTCGTTAGCTCATTTTTCGTGGCTTCTCCTGGGTTCGGACTCACTCTCACTGTGCATCAGCCCCCGAGGTTCATGATGCAAATGTTCCTCTG